ATGGAGTGAAAGTTGGCTCCCAAGCAATTCATGGGCTCATTTAGAAGTCATTGGTTTGATGGTGTTGCTGCTGTTGGTGCATGGAAGTTCACGCTGAAGGTGGTGGTGGTTGCAATTTTTTAAGGTGGAATGTAGAACAGGCGGCGGTGGTTACCCCTGCTGCTGCTACTTCTGCTGAAGGAAGAAGGTAGGTGCCAAACGATTAGAGAAGCAATAAAAGCCGAAGCCACTCAAATCCTTCACGCTGCGTTGATCGGGTTGCAGAAGAAGAAGAGGATGATGGGGAGGCAGCAGCGGCAGCAGAAGCAGCCGAAGATCGAAATGAGAGCGACTCATTGAAGCAGACAGTGGTGATGGTGGTGGTAATGTGTTCTTGATGAGTGAGAGAGAATGCTCTGAAGACGGAAGAATGCTGCTGCCTGGCTCGGCTACAAAAGTGTGTTAGTGGAGAAGTGAGCAAAGAAGAGGCGGCATACTCTTTCTCTCTTTCACACTGCCGATTCTAGGTTACGTCGATGCTTTGTCGGTGAAACTGAGGAATCAGTGGTGGTGGTGGGATGCTGTTGCTGGCACCAGATAGTAGAACCTCGAACACTTGCCCGTGCTGTGATGCCGTCAATTTCGGTGTCGGTTCTTCAGCAGCCTCTTCAGGAGCATCTGTGTCAGCGCCGAGCGCTATATACCATCACCAGAACTTCTTCAGCAGAGATGAACGGCGCCGTATTAAATGGCTGTGGTGTGGTGCATGTGTTGCACTTGGAGCATCACATGCTGCCTGTCTCTGCATACTTCGTCAGTCTTGAGCGGTTCTATTATTATGCAATTCTATAAAAAGTACCACTCCACTGGTCGGCGTCTTCGACGTTGCCGCCATCGCCGCCATCGTTGTCGTCGTCGTCGTCTGCCGAGCCAGTCCGTCGCCAGATGACTAGTTGAGTTGCCAGTCTCTTCTTCTCTCTCAGCTCTTTAGTGCCACTTTCGGGTTTGCCAAGATGATGTTCAAGTCAAACTTTTTCTTTGGCAAACTTCTCTTGGTGAAAAAGAAATGCTGGTTCTGGTGCTGGAAGCATCAAAAGAGTGAGAAAGTAAAGAGTGATGACGAAGTGAGCTGCATCTGCTGATGCTGCTGTGTTCTGCCAAAGCATCTTCTCCCTTTGATGGCTAATAAAAAGTGCACCAAAGAAACGGTGGACAGGCGCTGAAAGTCAAAGTGGGCCTGGTGCAAACCAGGGCGACAAATACGAATCAAATTCATCAAGAGTTCATCTNATAAAAAGTGCACCAAAGAAACGGTGGACAGGCGCTGAAAGTCAAAGTGGGCCTGGTGCAAACCAGGGCGACAAATACGAATCAAATTCATCAAGAGTTCATCTAAATCTGAAAGCGAAAAAATCAGCTGATTTTTAACGCTTGTTACTAGCACTGTCACGCCATCTTTCGTCCTCTTGGCAAACAAACCTTTTTTTGAAGATTGAAATCGTCAATGCATTTCGTCTTTGCATTACAAATGAGCTAGTCAAGCAAGTAAACAGAGAAGATCTGCGGCCATCTTTCTTGAATTGATTTCCACTTCAGAGGACAGCCACAACATAACAGTTTTTCCCTTCCACCTGCTAGCACACTGGTACACATTTTTGGATCACTTGGCAAATAAAAAGAAACTACACGCTCGCACACTAACTTTCACCTCAACTCAAGAGAAGAAAAGTAAACGCGGCACACTTTTTTATCGTTTTTTATTATTTTTATATATTTGAATTTATAATTTGTCAGTGGGGTAACTGTAGTGTTAAGAATAACAAGAATGGAAGAAGAGATAACAGATTTTCTTAGAAAAGTGAGAGGAAAGGAAAGTCCTTTGACGGGAGAGAGAGAAAAAAATAGGAGACAGAAAATAGAGCCAGAAGCATGAGAAAGAGAGAGAGAGAAGTTTATGTTTAGTAAATAAAGAATCGGGAATATAAACGGAAAGAACGTGTATGAATTAATCATTGGTAAGTGGCTATAAATTAGAGAAATAGAGAGGGCCGAAGAATTGAACGGTACAAAGAATCGAGAATCGAGAGTGAACTGAAGGAGTGAGTGAGTGAGAGTATAGAATAAAAGAGAGATTGAACNAAGAGAGAGAGAGAGAGAGAAGTTTATGTTTAGTAAATAAAGAATCGGGAATATAAACGGAAAGAACGTGTATGAATTAATCATTAGTAAGTGGCTATAAATTAGAGAAATAGAGAGGGCCGAAGAATTGAACGGTACAAAGAATCGAGAATCAAGAGTGAACTGAAGGAGTGAGTGAGTGAGAGTATAGAATAAAAGAGAGATTGAGATTGAACATTGAGACACTGACTTTTGTCTTTTTCTTTTTCTTTACCGCCACGCTGGGTCGCATCACCGGGACATGTCGTGCGCTTGCTGCCCTCGACAGTACATTTGTGTGTGTTAGTTTGAGAACTCAGTGTTTTCAGTGATGATCGGCTCAGAAAATATAAAATGAAAGAATAATAAAAGGTATTGACGTGAAAATATAGTAAGAAAGAGGAAGAGAGAGAGAGAAAGAGAGAGAGAGAGAGAGAGAGAGAGACAAAAAAATAAAATTGAAACATAAAAAGAGTGGCCGACTGAAAAGTGTGAGAGAAAGAGAGCGAGAAAAATAGAAGAAGGTATTGCCGCTGGTGTTGACTAGAAAGAGAGATAGAAAGGAGTTGAAGTTGTGGAGTTGCAGCAGCAGTGACCTGTTCCGCCAAAGAAGAGGAGGAGGGAGAGGGCAGCAGCAGTTCACCCCACTGACAAGTGGTGGAAATAGTGCCGAAGGAGTGGTAATAACATTTTAAATGCAGTTGGGTGGTACAACGAGAACGATACAGCAAGAGCTTGTTAGTACAGTGTGGAAAATGGTAGTGGTGGAAAGTGTGGTGATGTGGGCGTGTGTGCTTTATAAATAACATGAGATGGAGTTACCTGAACACTACGATGGCTTTAGGGGGTATGACCGAATGTTTATTTAGAGGTTTAGCGTTTTTCTTTTTGTGTACAGTTTGGTACAACTGTTTTTTTTATCCGGTTCAGTTGACCGGGATTTCTTTTTCCTCTTCTTTTTCTTTTTCTTCTCATTGTTGGCCAGTTCAACGTACACTTTTTACATGACTCTGATTTGTACAGTGTTTTGTTGGCCTGTCTTTCTGTTTTTGCTGTGTTTGTTTGTTTGTTAGGGCACCTTGTCTCAGCAGTGATTTTTTCTGTTAGCTTTTTCTGAACATGTACATTGGTGGTGGTGGTGGTGTGTGTTGCGTGGTTGAGTGGTAATTAAAAATTTATAATAGTAAAATTAAATATTTATAGTGTGTGGAGAATAGATAGATTGTATAAATATTTACATGAGAGAAAAAGTAGAAGGAAGTAAGAGAAGGAAGTGATGGTGGTAGTGGAAAAAGGAAGAGTGAGAGAATGAAAATGAGTGAAATTTGCATTTGACTGGGAGTTATTTGTTTTTGGGTTTTTGCAGTTGATTTTGGGGTAGAGTAGTAGTATGCTTTTGCTTTGGATTAGGAGTGCTCGAGTTTGGGGTAATATTATTGGTATTGTTGTTGCACTGCTGCTTTGGTAGTGAAGTGACTAGATGAGGATGAAAATGGTCATAAGAGGAGAAAGGGGAGAGAGAATGAAAGGGAGCGAACGAAGGAGAAGAAGAATGTGATGAAAGTGACCCAACATTGGAGAATGATGAAAATGACCAGAGTGATCATCACTGAATAGAGGAGAGCAAGAATAAAATTGCCAATAAGAGTGATCAGTGGGAAATGAAATGTCTAGGCATAGGCGATTGTGTGTGTCTGTCTAGTAATTGTCGATTTGGACTCTACAAAAAGAAAAATATATTTTCCATCTTTTTCCAGTATTGAATTGCTATTGGCGCCAAATGTCAGCTTTTTCAAGTGGACTTCATTGTTGTATTATGGCAATTCCGATTGGCCTGTTTTGCCCCATTACCATAAATAATAGTTTTTTTTGCTTATCAGCAAAAATGATGTTTTTTGCAGTGATGATGGGCAGCCATTTACCGCAGTGACCACATAAAGTGCAGCAACAATTACGGTTGCCGGAACTGGAAATTTAAATTAATAATCGGTTGTATAAAGTGAGAGATGGCACTGAAAGACAGAGAGCAGTTGGCATCCCAAATTTCTTTTTTGTTTTGAAAAGGAATTTTCATCATTGGTTTCAACTAACGAGGTTCAGCAATCCTTGGGGTAATCAAGTATGCCAAGATGAAGCCCAGTGTTACTTGAAAGCCATAAATGCTCAATGCCGGCAATAAAAAATAAATAGTAAATAAAAGAGAGGATAATAACAGTGAATGGGTAATGGAAAGGAGAAGTGAGAATAAGAATAAGTGATAATATCGACTGATGATGAAACAGAGTGAGACCAGACAGAGGGAGAGAATCTGGTGATCAGTTAAAAAGAATTGTGATGTGCAGCTTAATGAATGAAAAGTGGTGCGGTGTGGGAGTTTGAAATGGAATTGCAACTGTGACAGTGACAGTGATGATGATGATGGTAATGATTATGATGATGATGGTGATCACGATGCGAGTGGGTCACGAGAGTTTGTGCACTTGTGTGGGGACTTGGTCAAGAGAAAGAAAGAAGAAAATGAGTTTAGGCGGAGGCACATTGTTCTCAGCTGGGTTCACCGGAAGAAGGAGAAAACTATTGCTGGTGCCACCGGTGACTGAATATATGTGTGTGTGTTTGTGATTTAGATCGGTGCAGATGGTCATAAGGCGATCTTGCCAAATGCGAGCAATAAACTTGCTTAGCTTTTCTGAGCTGACATGCAAATGAGCGATGCAGTCAATTCTTTGCGAGACAAACCATCAGTTTGATGGTCGAAATTGGCAGCTTGCTTTGCTTGACAATCAAGAGAAAGAATAATGATGAGGGGTAGATGATGATAATGGTGATGATCGGAAAAAGAAGAGTTCATGTTCAATAGTGCTTTAGATGCGAGTGTCCGTCAAGTAGGCACCCGTAGAGGAAGGCGCTATGACGCCCGTGAGGAAGCCATTCGAGGTGGGGCCGTTCAGGTAGAAGGCCGCAGCTGCAGCGTTGGCCGCCGCCGCCGCTGCTGCCGCCGCCGATGAATTGGAGCCGCAGCCGGCGCCTGAGGAAGGCACGACCACGCCCCCGGCGGTCAGCGCCGCCGCCATTGCCTGCTGCTGTTGTTGTTGCTGTTGCTGCTGCTGCTGCGCGCTACCGTGACCACCACCTGCGGCCCCGCCCCCATTTCCGCCATAGTGCCCTCCATTGTGGTGGTGAGCGTGCTGGTGGTGGCCCTGGTGGGCGTGTTGATGGTGACTATTTCCACCATTTCCGCCTCCGTGATGATGCGGTCCACCGGCCATCTGCGAGGAGCCGCTCATAGAGGTGGGCACAAAGGCTGCGGGCGTCAGAAAAGGCGTCAGAATGGCGGCGTCAGAGTAGCCGGAAGCGGCCGCTGCTGCCGCTGCCGCCGCAAATGGATTGCCCGCTGCAGTGGCGCCCGCCGCCCCGGCCGGTCCCAGTCCGTAGTAGTCAGCGTAGGGGGGCGTGAGAATGAGTCCGGTAGGCGTGGCCGAGGAGAGGAAGGCGCCCGGGGGAGAGCCGGCGGCGGAGGCGGCAGAAGCCGCCGCGGCCAGTGACGCCGACGGGTGGTAGACGATGTGCGGCTGGGTGAAGCTGATGTTTGGAAAATTAGAGAAAAAAAGAAAAGAAAAAAGATTGAGAGTTAGTATGTGTGCTGGCTGAGGATAACTAATGATATCTCCTTTGATATTGCCTTCGCCAAATTTAAGCGATATAAATCGATGTCGAAAAGGAAAAACTCAAGAGGAGAATTCGATCACACGGAGTTCTGAGCAAGCATTAGGCAAGTGAGCAGATGAAACGACGACGACCAAAAACGAGAAAGTGCCAAATTAAAGTCGACTGGCAAATGGACAGCAGAGCTGAAAAAGAAGAAAGTCTCTTCAGGGAGGGATGCGAAGAGGGACCAGAGACCCACTAATGAAGTGGCCGTTTGCAACAAAACAGCGTCTGTCTGTGTGTGCCCAGTGCCATTCACTCTGGGAACCACTCTTCTTCCTCTCCTCTTTTGCCAGATCTATAATTTATCTATCAGAGTCAATGCTCAAATTGTGTGTGTGCAGTGATTGGCCGTAGTGGTGGTAGTGGTCACTGGTTACCACCAAAACTGGCCGATTATTATTACTACGAGTGAGAATTATTATTAATAACAGTTCAGGAGAAGGAGAAGGATAAGAAAACGTCGGCAATTATGGGGCACCGCTCTCTCTTTTTCTCTCTCTTTCTCTCTCCACTGGTCTTTCATTCAGTCAGTCATCTATAGAAAATTTGCTCTTTTTTGTGCCCGTAAGATTAGGCTAGAAAATGATTATTTTTATTATTTGAACAGAGCAGGCCGATCATCAGACTACTGGTTTTGGTGTAATTTAAAAAAACCTCCTGATAAGTAGCTGCTGAATCGATATTGACAATTGAGAAAATTGC